TTTCAAAAGTATTGAACAATTAAGGTACAAGTAACAACAACAAATAAGATTCAACTCCATTGAATCTCCATTCAACCCAACACAATTGTACAAGTTACGTTTACGTTAGGACAAGAGTTTTTAGATTATTTATTGTAATTTTTGCCCCAAGCGAAGGGGCCCCTTCAATTCGATCGCCGCGGCCTTACGTTCGTGTGAACGGCTTCATTGAAACTGAAACTGGTCCGTTCAGCCTAGCAGCTATGCTCGTGTAAACTAGGCCTAAGCGCGGGGCCCAGTGCAACCCTGAGGAAAAGTCCCTTGAGTCAAGAATGTTGTTCCTAGTAATACCTTAAAATTCACCTAACAATAACCTTAAATATAGGATAACAACAATAAAGCTGTTAAAAAAGAAGGGCATTCGGTAAGTGTCTGATTAATTTTTGAAGTTATTAATAAAAACTACTGTGCAAGGGGCCCCCTTCGGGGCCCCCCTAGGCCCGGGGGCCCCGGGCGCTCGCCCCGTCCGCCCCTAGGTAAGTTCGGCTACTCCACTGATTTGAAAGAAAAGGAGACACAATATCCCAAACTCTGGAAATTTCAGATATTAACAAAAAATCTAACCAGATCCACCTTTCTGTTGTCCAAAATGCTTTCTGAGAATCCTAATAAATTAAAATAATTACAATTACAGTCTCTAATCGTTGAAAATATTGTCTTCATTCAAATATTTCTTCAAACCAAGAACTTTATTTAACCTAAATGATAATGTGTACATATTGTTCTAAAAATATTCCCACAATTGCACATTTTAAAGTTCTTTAAGATTATTTTTGAATCAAAAATTAGAATTGATAGTTTCAAAAATTTAATGGAAAGTGAAAGTCAAACTTTGTACAAAATACTCAAAAATAGTTTATAAAAAGTAAAAGAAAAGGTAACGTTTGTCTGCAGATACAAAATTATTTAATGGTACCTAGATACCAGTTGGGAGGTAGGTGTATTAACATAATTACTGTTACGAATAAAACTGGTGTGATAATTGACCAAGATACTCGATTCTGAATCTTGACTTCAGTCCTTCTCTTATTTTCTTTCTGTATAGGCCTACAGCTTTCTTCGGTAAATTGATCTCCTCAATAGCGTCTAAGTCGGGTTGTCTCACATCGCTTATATCTTTCATAAACATTGATGGAGTAATGGGACCAACTCATACAGATCATCTGACATGTAAGTAAGCGGTCGAGCATTGATAACACCCTCACACTCGCACAATACATTTGACACCTCTTCACAGTTCAAACCAGCCCTCCTCAAAACTCTCATTGGAGAATGTTGATTGTTTGATTCCCGCCCTTTAACATGTGCTGAAGCACCAAATACGGGTCTCACTGGTGTAGTCGCATTGTCCTTGAGAACTGTTCTATGTGGTATGAACTGCTTGATGTGATCTACCTCGTTACTGGGAACTGATTCAATGATTCCTCCATTCTGCCAACTTCTAAAAACTTGTTGATACTTATTGAAATGTCCACAATTTGTAGTCTTATCGGTTGTTGATTGAAGTCGTTTCTTTGAAAGTTCCAAGTTATTAGGATGTATGTTACAATCCTCAACCAAAGGTAGGCACACTTCATGAAGACCTTCTTTGTTATCACTCTTCACCGTATTCTTAAAATGTTCTAGTGTCATCTCGTGTAACTCTTATTTTGACTTCTGTTCTACGGGATCAGTAATACCAAATAAGTGTCTCTAATTTCCAGAACATCGAAATATCCTCAGAAGGATCACTAAAAGAAAACATACTAACACATGATGTATTGCATTCTGTCTTACTGTTATCAGTTTCCACAACACTAGATAAGCGACCCATTAATGTCCAGCCTAGAAAAGTTTCCATTGCGACAAGTCCACTATTCAGCTGAACTTTGTTACCTGTGAATAACTTACCAGCAAAATCTGCACCAATTAATACTTCAATTTTTGCATCTGATCCAGCCACATCCGAAAGAACAATGTTAGCAGCCTCTATTCCCTTAAGTTCTGGACCTCTCCTAATACTAGGGATATTTTCATTTACCGTATAAGAGGTTGGTCTAGAACCTTGAACCTACACTTAAAGTATTATTCAGATTGGCAAAAATGATTTTAAACTTGTTATGTGTCACAACATCCGTCTTAACACCTCCAAAAAGTGAATGAGTTAAACTCTCTTGCCCCTCAGGATACATACCAATTTCAGATGCTTTAGACTCAAGAATATAAGATCTCATCGAACCTGTATCAATTAAGGCTCTAACAGGACGAATCAAACCTTCATGGATCAGATTGACCCCCAATGTCTGCAGATAAATCTCATTACCAGTGCACTTGTTTGATTGTTCTTGCGCTTGTTCTTTATTAACACATCAAATGTAGGGTGTTTGCGGTAACAAATACTACATTTTAAAGGACGTCTACAAAATTTGGATGTATGTCCCTGAAATAGACATGTAAAACAATCTTTTTTATCCAAAACAATTTGTCTTTTTTTACTAAAATCCATTTTCTTTGCCTGAATACAATCTGCACTTTTGTGGGCTTCTGAGCAGAATATACAATTTAACTCTTTTGACTTGTTAGTCAAGCAAGATGCTGAAGGCATATTGTTTGATGTTTTATCAATATTACTTCTAGGGCTTACCCTCTTACTCGTACCGTAACCAGTCTTAGCCAAAATGATTCTTTCTTCACCTTCGACTTCTGATTTGATGAACTGCCGCAATCTTTTCAATGTCTGCCCTTCTGATTCTGATGATTCTTTATTTTCTCCATCTGAAGACAAACTGCATCTCTGCCAAGCTCTAAGAAGATCATCTGGTAAGCAGGACTCTACTAAAGGCAACAAAACACAAGCGCATTTATCTGTTGTTACCTCTAAGCATTCCAAGGCAAAATTGACATTCTAATTTGTCGTAAAACTGCATCAGAGACAAACTATGTTCTGTGTTTTTCAGTACCAAAGCAAGCAGCTCCCTAACATATACTTGTACTAGAAGTCTGTCTCGCCCAAATCTACCTTTAAGTTCCTCTAGAGCCTTAGGATTTAATTATCTGCGGTTGGTGGAAAACTATTTACTACTTCATATGCTCTAGACCTAGGAATCATACTTTGTAACAAGTATTGGAACTTTTCTGCAGCATTTAAGGTCGGTTCCCTATCTATTGTTTGAAAACGACTCCAGAAATGTAGCCAGTCCTTTGGATCTCCACCAAATTTGATCAATTCAACTTTTGGAAGTCTCACTGTGTTCTGCTTAGGTACTAAAATACTTTTGTTACTTACAGAATTGCTGAGAGAACGAGCTTCATCTTCTAGTCTGTTACTTACTCTCAACTTGTATTTGATTGATTCAAAAGTCTCCTTATATTCATCCTGTTTTGCAAGTTCGGCTTCACTTTCTTCATCAGTACTTTCTTCAAGCATTAAATTGAATACTTCTTTATCAATTTCTTGTAACTCATTGTAGAAGGTAGTAAAAATTTAGTTAAGTTTAGTTTAGTTAGTAAAAAAAATAGTAAAATTTTAGAAGGAGCGTTAATTTTTAATTTGTATAAAGTTATGTTAGATTTTAAGAACTTTGTATCTATAGAATGTAAGAACATTGTAATATAAAAATGCCCCCGCCGCAGCAAACCTGCCGACTAAGCGAATTTCGATTTGTCTGAATTGATTTTCAGTTAAATATATTTTAATAACATTAGGTTTAACAAGTACCTAGGTTTGCTGCTACAAGGAAACTAATAAAGTGTGTTTTTGAGTAAAATATTGATAGCTTAGTAGAAAATAAATAAATTTGCCAAGTTTGATTAAAATATATTCATAAACAAGCAAACTACAACATTTGACAATATTCTCCATAAGAATAACATGGGAATTTTAAATTTACAATTTTCTCCGTTACTAATAATCGAACAAAAATACTTTTATATACTAAATTATTTGTTTTTTTAAGCTCTTTAAAAAGGTCTAAAGAGAAATTGGGAAATTTTGTGTTTTGAGGGTCAAAAGTGAGAAAAACCAATTTTTACCCCATAAAACCCCCCGTAAAGCCCCGTTCCCATGGTCCGGTCGTGCTGGTTCGCGAACTCATTCAAGTTTATCCCGCTTTACACCTTTAAACCAAATTTCATCAAAATCGGACAAAAATTACTCAAGTTATCGCGTTCACGGACGTATATATATATATATGTCTATATATATATATATATATATATATATATACATATATAAAAATTTGAACGAATAGTGTTTTTGGCCTCTGGGGACATCAAAATGAAAAAGTAAATCGGTCCCGGGTCTAGGTCTTACCGTGCCACCTACGGTAATAGCTACTTCCCTATAGGGAAATTCGCTATGTAAGAGAATGACACTATTCATGTACTTTGTGCTCTAATGAATAAAGAAATATTGAATTGAATTGAATATATCTTTGTTCTATTACACCATAAAGAGCATTAGCTCTATCAAATTCTTCTTGACAAACTTCATTAAACTTTGATACTGTTCTACTAAATGTTGTTCTCAAAACCTTCCTTCTTTTTAACAAGGCATCCATCCATGGTTCAAATAAAATCTATACTTTTCCAACAAATAAATTACTTCCACCAATGCCAACACGTTGGGCGCCACAATGTTACGAATAAAACTGACAAAAATGATGAGTACTCAGTGAAAGTAGGCAATAACAATATTTTATTCAAACCATTTAACATCTTCTTTAAAGACACACACAAATCAACTAACTTTTTGTTTACATTCTCCCCTTTAAATTAATTAACATGTGTTTAATTATTATCAAGCATTCTAATACATATTAATATTAACATTTGCTAACAGCTGGCACTTTAAAACCAGTATAGTTTAAACCATTGACTATAGGTCAAACCAACACAGCATATATAACAATTACAGAACAATAAAAAGTTGTGTGATTAATTTATATTATCTGAATCATATACTCATGATATACTCGTTCCAGTATTCATCCTGTGCTGGAGTCCTTACATAGTGTTCGATCTACTCCAAGTGTACGGTTTCATACCTCAAACACAGACATACATCGCAGTGGCCAACTTTATACAGAGCTTGGCTCCACTCAACTCAGCAGCTAACCCAGTGATATACTGCATGTTCTCGACACACCTCTGCATGCCTCTCAGGTACCTACTATGTTATCAAACACAAAATAAAATCAACATTTTAGTTATTTGTCTATAACAATATGTTTATAACTACTAGTCAGAGAACTGCTCCTTCCACTAGAGGAGTCAACACTATACAGTTGTACATATTATTGTATGTCACATTACAGGAAGGTACCAGTGTTGGGATGGCTGTGTTGTGGTACTGTACCACCAGGAGGTGACTCTAGTACACTGACTGACACTACTAGTCAGAGAACTGCTCCTTCCACTAGGAGAGTCAACACTGTACAGTTGCATCTCTGAAGCTGCTCATCTTTCAAACTATGTGTTCGGTCCTCCAGTTTTGTTTGTGGTAAGTTTAAAGTATAGCTACATTCATGGTCAATTCTGAGTTTTTTCACTCAGAATAAACTATTATTGTCAATAACCTACTGTGTTGCTCTCGTCCAATACTGGTTTTCTCTGTATCCTCTATAAAACAATTCCTCAACTGCCCCACCATCCTTGAATTCCTAGACGCCCATAAGGGCTTTGTAAGTGTTAGGCACAATGGACTCTCTGTATAACTTCTCAGCCATCCCTGGGTCCATCATTAGCAGGGTCTCCCACTTCCTAGATGGTCCACTGTGTCCATTCTATTTCAACAATTTTCACCTGACCCTGAGCAATGTTCAGCTGAACCCACCTTAGAGTCTAACCTTATTACAAACTCAATCTCCTTGTGCCCTACCACACCTCTGATCCAATAGATGAGCCACCACCCAATGACCGCACCTCAACAACGTTTGTCACCTCTGTTCCACAACAATACGTGATATGTCTTGTCCTAGCTTAAGTCCTCTCACCCTCATCTCCTATTGATGGCCTCCGACCTGCCACATCTTCAGCCTTGAGACTTACCAAAGGGTGCCTTGCAGTAAACATTACATCTCCCACCCCTTGGACCACAACCAGAGATGCCAACCACCTACCCTGTACCACAGCTCATATACTTCCTCAACCACCCAAGCCTGAAGTACCTGACCATACCGCAAAATGCTCCAACAGTTTTTCCAACTCTACTTCCCCAACTGCCCAAGCCCCCACCTAACTAACCAATTTTACAAATCAATAATTTGCTTACCTAACCAACCACAATCTCCTAAAAAACTAAATCAGCCACTGTAAGTCCTGACTAACCCCGCCTCAAAACATTTAACCAAACAACCTGCCCTTCAGCAACAGCAAGCTTATTTTGATTGCTTATCATCTTGTCCTTTGGTGGAGTAATAAAATAATTTTGTGCTCGAATGGAGAAATATTTTTTGTTTGCTTTACCTCATGCAAACTCCTTCAACATGGTGATTTTATGTTTCCAGAGCTACGTCATCTGCCCCAGCAGTATTTCTCTCAAGGATTCAGAGGATGGCAACTTTGCAAGTCTGCAGCGAATCTTAACAAGTCAAAAGTTCCAGTTTTCTGCCAGTTCTACATGTTTTTCAGTATTATGTGTGTACAGTTTGGTAAGTTTTTGGAAAGTCAAATATTAAGGGGACAGGCTTTACAGATATTGGGGAGGGATCATGGGATTAATTTATCATCTCAATATACCGGGTGTTTCAAAATGAATAGCTGGGTTTTAACGCTTTATAACTTTTATACTATTAAACTTATCACCATAAAATATGCATCAAATGAAAAAGCAACTCAAAGAGTTTATGCCTTCCAAAGACACATTATTTAACAAAATCGATCCAGCAGAACTGTAGATTTAATTGTACAAAGTTAAAAAGTAATCTCCAACTTTTTTCATCACTAGAAATTCGGAGGTTGCTTGACGTTTTTGCAAATAACTTTTAAATTGTGAGGAAATCGACTAAAGTGGAAGGTAGGGCCTAATATTCCGAAAGAGAATAAATTTCCTACAATCAACTTTTATGCATTTTTTGAAGAAAGGTACCAAAAATTGCCTCAAAATGAAAAAAATTGAAAATCCCCGTCTTCAATGTAGACAATAAACATAGCAAACATAAAATTTCACACTTTTTTATTTTAAGCCAAATTTAGGCTACATTTATTGAGTATTTTCATGAAATGCATAGTAGTGGATTGTAGGAAATTTTATTCTCTTTCGGAATATTACCTTCCACTTTGGTCGATTTCCTCACCATTTAAAAGTTATTTGCAAAAACGTCAAGCAACCTCCGAATTTCTAGTGATGAAAAAAGTTGGAGATTACTTTTTAACTTTGTACAATTAAATCTACAGTTCTGCTGGATTAATTTTGTTAAATGATGTGTCTTTGGAAGGCATCCACTCTTTGAGCTGCTTTTTCATTTGATGCGTATTTTATGGCGGTAAGTTTAATAGTATAAAAGTTATAAAGCGTTAAAACCCAGCTATTCATTTTGAAACACCCGGTATATAGGTATTGCTCCTGTTGTGGTACATCTTAATGGGTAGTCAATTGTGCATCGAGGTAGTTTATCATAGGCTGTCCCAATGGAAGCATAAAATAAATTTGTCTCTAGCTTTGAAACCCCCATCTTAAACAATTTTTAGATCAAATACCACATTTTTACTGAGTTAAGTGGATTTTTAAAACTTAACATCACTTTTGCACATCACCTCGGTATTATTAAAAGCGGAGGATTTAACTGGCAATCTTAAAAACAATTTCTAAATTAGATAATAAAATAAATTGTAACTAGTGTAAACAGTGTAAAAATATATTTTAGTTAGATAATGTTATTGTTATAGACTAATATAGTGTTTAGATTGTATGCCTTAGCACTACAAATTGATGTATGACCAGATAAAACCAGGTAAAAACCACTAAAATTGCTTAATTAGATAATGTTTTAAATTTTCTATAACTACTGTAGGTACTTAGTATCTGGAAACAGTCAAGCATGTTAATACAATAGCTTCTCTTCTCTGTTTAAGTCATACATAACATCCTTTGATCTTCCACAAACAGGCATTATTACCAGAATCCAAACAAAATCTTGACTGCCACCGGCTTTCCAATGTTACAGGAGACGTTCAACTTCAAAGGTATTAGCTTAATACCAATGTTCAAACCAGCAGCTTCCAAAACAACATGTCTTTTAATACAATTCATTAACATAAAAAGTTGTAATCTCGGATCCAAAAACAGTAGATGGCATGCTACTTCCCTCAGGAAAGGGCTTTAACTGGTTTCACACCAATGTGATTGATCATAGAACACAGCAATGAAAATTAAAAAACAAATTAAATAGGGGGTTGCTCAGGGATAAGTCTGTAACTCAGTCATAAAATTAACAACTTAAAATGAACAGGGCCGTGTTAAGGGTCAGTGGAGCCCTGGGCAAACCCAAAAGCAGTGCCCTCATTTTTTCCTAGCGCGGGCAGACGGTGGTTGAGGGGCACCCGGGGGGCGCCCCCAAACCTTTGGCGCCCCTGGGCATATGCCGAGTCTGCCCGTTTATAAAAGTGGGCCTGAAAATGAAGGGCTAAGATAATAAAGTTAGGTTAGGCTAAGTAATTTTAAGTTGACATCCATAATTTAACTCACTTTTGCTGCTACCACTTTTACTTGACCAAGACCCCCCTTCTTTCTTGTTGACTATTACCACAGACAATAGCTGCAGTCTGTGCTATTACACAACTTTTTTTTCATCATATCGATTAATTTGGAGTGGGCACCCCCTCCCCTCTTTGTGTGTGGGCCTAAGTTAAAATAAGATTTGATGGCCTAACCCATTGATCGGAAACAATTAAAATACAAAACTTAGGGTTATTTTAATTTTTAGCTTAGTTTAAAGAAAGTATTATGAGTATATTCCCCCAAGATACTTTACTTATATAGATATTTTGAGTGGTTGAAGAGTGCTCACTTTGTTTAAATATAAAAGTAGCCCACTAGCTTGTTTCAATTCTAAGGACTGTTTCAGGATTTAATTACAATGTTTTCATGGCTTCATTATTTTTAGGCAATTGTCTGGAATAATTATGATTATTTCTAATAGTTCTAATATGTTTCTTTAATTTACTTGTATTTTCTTTAAAAATTGTTAAAAGTTTACAGGTGTATTCATGAAAGTGTATCAAGGCATCATCTATCGTCCATGAAGCAACTATTCCAAGTCACTCCTTAGGCAGAAGAAAAGGTATAAGATATAGTAATTTTGATTAAATTACCCGTGTAGCTTTATCCTTAATTCCAGTTAATACATGACTTTCCCATGATTTGCATTCTAACAGTAACAAAACAATCAAGCCAAATCCATAAATAAAAAAGGTATCAGGTCTTTTGTACCTTTTGGTAGTAAAAACGTATTTACCACCTTAGACATTGGTTATTGCTAGTAGACTTTTATCCCTTTTTTCAAATCAAAACTTGTTTGTGAATTATGGATTTATGTTTTCATGTGTAAAACGTTAGTAATATAATAATAAATAAAACTTCATCATATAAATGCACTAGTAGAGTGGACCAAACAAACTTTAAAAGTGTTTTAATTCTTTAATAAAGGTTATCTCATTTATGCCAAATGTATATCACCAGGAAGAATTATAGATAAAAGCTCAGCTTAGTACCAGAGCAGACTGTAAATAAGGGCAGGTCTATCGGTTAGTTACTCGGTGGGTGGCTCCACTAAAAAAAAAAAAAACTCATCAGCAAAATTTAAGTAATTCTTGCACTGTTGTACCAGCTCACACTTTATGTTTCACACACAAGCTTTGAGGACATTGTGGACAGGCAGAAGTAAAAGTTTAACAGATATTGCCAACCTCTTCAAAAAAAGCAACATTGACCTAATTACATAATATCTAATTATATTTGTACCCCTAATTATATTTGTATTATACCCCTAATTTATATTTGATCTATATTATCAAAGTCAGATGTAATATGATGGTAATTATCTAAATCTGGTCTAATAATTACGTAATATGCAAACTTTTGTAAGCCTTTTTTTATGTCAAATAACACCTATGATAATATATTTACACATATACTGTATACTCACAAGAGGGTAAATACATATAAAAGATGTTAAGTGGTGATCAGTTTCGATTGGACACTCCAACCATCATCAGAACCAATAGGCGAATGGGTCCATTCGAATTTTGACTACTCCATTCGCCTATTGGGTCTGATGATGATTGGAGTGTCCAATCGAAACCGATCACCACTTACCATCTTTTATATGTATTTTTGTGCTTTCAGATTAATAGCATGTATTTAATTTTGCAGGGTTTATCCATGGCAGAAATTACAGACAAGAGATTTTGGTTCCGCATTGAGAACTAGTTGAATACATCAGAGAGAAATAAAATCCAATAGAAAAAAATAACTCTAAAAATCACTCACATAGTATTTTAATTGATTGAATTGTAAAATCATGTTTTTAACTAATGTAAGTCACATTTGATGTAAATAATTTACCAAAGATTTTACTAAGTAGACAACACATTTGTAGGAATGAATATATTTTGTAGACACTTAATTATTTAAAATTGAGTGTGATAAGTGTAAAAACTTCAGTCTAAAGCCCCCAATACACGAGCCAACAAGTCCTCATCCAACTTCGACCACATCAGGACCGTATGTGGGAAAATCAGACCAGGTCAGCAGTTAGTCGGACAAGTCCGCGGTCGGTTGAGAATTCCCAGCGGATTTGGCCAACACAACAGACATGTCGAATCTCGTGTATAGTCTCAACAGACTTGCAGACCGGCAATTCACTGCGGTTGTTTTAAGGACGTTATACAGTAAACACGCTTCAAATTGTGTAGTGATGACAAAAGGTTTTGGGGAGGAGTTTGTAGAATTACAAGAGTATGCCATGTTTGTGGGACATTCGTAGTAAACAAAACAGCAACAAACTCTTGAGACAAGAGGTTTTAGGTAGATTGTTTGAGAAAAATTAACCGGAAGCTACGGTAGATGTTGTTAAGAAAATGATCGTTAACCATTACTGACATGAGTTACGGGGTGCATGAACGTGAGTTGTGGGAAGGGTTGTCATCTTCAGGACCGACGAAACCAGATGGAAAAGCGATCTTACTTGCAATCATTCCGTCCCAAACTGAAGTGTGAAGTCCCGCCTGATGCTGACCGAATAAAACCGAAGCTACATGACCATACCGCTGTCAGAACACTGGTCGGGTCGTGTGTGGTAACAGCCAGACTTGACATGCCAGACCGTGTATGGGGGGCTTAAATCTCCATCTAAAAGTTGAAAAGCTTTGAACTAAATGTGTTACATGTTTTACATGACAAACCATTTAAATTATTGTCCTATTTTTTGAGTTTTGAAAATTAAATTTACTGTAGGCTTTTGTCCTTTATTTATTTTAATTATCATCATAATCATTCTCATTTTGGAATCTTATGTACTCATACCTGATAAACATTAAAACCTATTATTTTATTCTGGAGCATTTTGAACAATTGTTTTCTATTTAAAAGTTTAAGTGATTAGAGGTCAATTAAATATAAAGGTTTTAAGTGATGTTTCTGTAACTAAACTATTAAGATTTTTCAAAGACAAAAAGAAAATTATTTATCATTTTTAATTTAAATGTAGTAAAAGATTTAAGTATTTTCATTGCAAGTCTTTTCTTCCACTTTTCTGGTGTTGATTGCACCATGTTATTGTTATAACAATAAACCTTGACGTAAAAACTCATCATTAATGCTGTGACAAATACAAGTCAATTTTAAGTTCTATAGAATATTTTTCCCAAACAATGAACTATACTCATTCACTCATTGCAATCACTTCTGTACCTACTGTAGTTAAGTGTTTAGTCACGATTTTTGCATTTCTTTTTACTTTCTCCCCCTATACCATAGTATATGGAGAAAGTATTGTTTTCGTCAAAATTTTCGAGTTTGAGTTTTGAGTGGATATATTCGTTTTGGGTCCCCCTGGACCCAAAAAAGTGGTTTTCGAAGTGATGTCTGTGTGTGTGTGTGTGTGTGTGTGTGTCTGTGTGTCTGGATGTGTACAGAGCTAGGGACTACACCTGTTGTCCGATTTCGATGAAATTTGGTATGTGGGTTCTAATCCATGGTATCTCCAGGCGTTTTTTTCATTTTTTTGAAATTTTGATTTTTAATGGGGATTTTCCCATAAAAACCCATAAAAAACCGGAAAAATCGAATTTTCTCAAAAATGGCCCGAACGATTTTGATAAAAATTTAGTATGTTGTAGCCCTTTAAATTCTGAACAAAATGGTACAAATTTCATTTCTCTAAAAATTACGGTTCAAAAGTTATGGTAAATTATGTTATTTTCCCATAAAAACCCCGTAAAATAACGAAAAATAGGATTTTAGAATAAAATTCCAGTTTCAATTTAACATAGTATGTTATGGTCCTTAAAGTTTTGATAGTTTTTTTCATTTAAAAAAAATTAATTTTTTATGGGAATTTTCACATAAAACCCCATAAAATAACGGAAAAATGGGATTTTCCCAAAACGGCAAGAACGATTTTGATAAAAATTTGGTATGTTATAGTCCTTTATATTCTTAACAAAATGGTACAAATCCCATTTCTGTAAAAATTACGGTTCAAAAGTTATTGTAAATTATGTTATTTTCCCATAAAAAAAACCCATAAAATAACGGAAAAATCGGATTTTTACTAAACTGGCCCAAAACGATTTTGATAAAAATTTTGTATGTAGTCCTTTAAATTCTTAACAAGATTATACTAATCCCAATTCCGTATATTTACTCTCACCGCTTACACAATATGATAAAGGTTGTTGACAAACTTATGGGAGAAAGTATGTGTCAGAATGCTGATACCGTTTATTTATATTGAAGTGGACATTATATGTTTAACTTGAATTTTAATTGTTAAGGCTGTAATTAAAATATTTATTTATAACAGTACACTTTGTACAAACCAACAGGGTAACTTATTGTATTGATATTGCACTATAATAATCTAAGTCATACCACCTATATTTGTACTTAGTCTCTACAAAAGACATTAGTTTATTGGTTTGGATATAATAAATTATTTATTATTGTTGTATAATTATGTGTGATTCCAACCTGAATTCATCCCTTAAACTCTACCTCTACCTGTACTCAAATTCCAAGGCATACGGAAACTATTCTGCCAGATTTGCATTCTAAAAGATACTACATTCTAATCCAAACGTGATTAGATAACTAGGAGTCTGTCAAGGACTAAAGCAGCTTTCTGGTATCTAATCGAACACATCATTTGGAGGTCCTAGTAACCCATCCAAACAAGCAGTGCACACGGCTTAATCAGTTTTGGGCTGAGGTAGGCATTGGCTATTGGGGATCAAAATAGTTAACCCATGACGGCAATTTTTTACATTTATCTATTAATAATTTTTTTATGTTACCTATGTCTTTTATAATATATGGGTTTCAACACGATACGTCAGGTATGTAACCAGTTACACGGCTCGAAGCAACACAATGTCTGCAAAAACATGGTTAGATGAGTCCAAACACAGAGGACTGCTATTTTTTAGTACATTAGAACAAGAACCATCCCCAGTTCGAGAAAGGAGTCATCTCTGAGGTCGGGACAATACAAAACCATTTGGAAGATATGTGAAAAACTATATATGACTATGGTTTGTCCAAAACTACCAGAAAGGTATGCATGAGAGGGATGTCTTGAGGGAAAGACTTGGCAATCAACACTTGACGGTAATGATTGATAAATATACCAGGTAGTACAATACAGATATATTTTCACACAAATAATCTTTAAAAGAGCATCATTGTATTGGGAAATAAAAGAAAATCTGGAAAATAACAGGCGATACAAAGTAGCTGTGGTAGGTAGTTTCAGACAAGAATAACATTGTCAATGGTTGACCTGTGATAGAGTGATAACTCTTTCGGGTGAATTACCTAACCTTCAAAATATTAGTGACGACTTCATAATAGCTTACTGTATATATAATACGTGAAGCCGTTTTTTGTTAACGCAACTCCTCCCTTATTTGCGTACCAATTTCAACGTTTAAGGTGTCAAAAGATTCGTCTCAATATGTAGTTTTGCAATAAGGTTTTAGAATTTTAAAATGCCAACTCTTAAGGTCGTGAGACCCTCTCAAAGGTCGGGTTTTCCCCATAAGAAATACATAGAACAAATTTAAAAACAAAAAACAGCTGTTTATAAAAAGAAACTCATTAGCTTTTTGGGAGTAAATATTAATGTTTGCAATATTCAGTAGGTTAAGACCAAGTTAAACAGTTAATCAGTTTTGTTGGAAGAACAGAAAATGCCTCAAGTTCAAATAAGAAATATTGAAAACGGGAGGATGAGACAATTAATAATAAGATATCTTATGCGTATAAGGAGAGTAGAAAAAGAGAGGTAGAAAATTCACCAATACAATCCAGACATTTCAAGTCAAAAATAAGAAGTTGCTATTGAAAGCTTTAGTGGCAATATTAGACCAAACATAAGTGAAGGAATTAGTGTTTATGTATTCAACGATCGAGTAGGGACGATCAAGTTTATTTTTACGATTCTAAGGCAAATAATATACGTTGTTCAAACAGAGAAAGTTGCAATTGCTATCCAAATCTTATAGCTACAAGAGTTAACTAACCTATTTCGACAAACGAATCCATACTTTCAAAACTTTGGGACAGGTACTAAGAGAACCCCAGAAACTCCACTGAACAACGTAAGAACGTTCTGATGCGAGGCATATACTGAGACTGAGAGACACGTTAAGTTAACCAACTTTCAATGGTGTTGCTGCTTTCAAAGCAGATTATGGCTGTCCAGTTGGTAATCCTGAGACTTTTCGGGATTCTATAGGAAAAAAATCGTTGGTTTAGGAGGATGTCTCAAATAAAAGAAATGAAATTACCAAACTAAAAAAAACCAACTAAATTACTTGACACGGGCAGTAAGGCAACAGTTTTCTTCAATTCTTAATACTGGAAAAACTTTGTTGCAACATGTTAACTCGAATTGAAGCAGAACGTTTAGCTTCCATTAAATGTTATCAGTTAAAACTGAGAGCAGAAATAATGTAGGTGAACCTTGACGACGCAAATAGAGTTATTCAAAATAATTTTCTAACAAGTTTTCAAACAACTCTAAGATGTAACTAAAAATACTCGAGTTTAAGCATAACGCTCTCCTCATGTTTCATACTATGCGGCTCATTGAGCCGCACGGGTTCTCTAGTAATTTAGAATTTTATAAAAAAACACAGTGTATAGAGGCCTTAGATATATAAATTTTTTACCAAAAGATATTAAAAATGAATGTAATAGTAGGAAATTTTACTTTAAACTGAAAAAATTCCTTGTAGAAAAAGCAATTTACTCCTTTGAGGAATTTTACAATTTAAAATATTGTGAATAGACAATAAGTACTCACTGACTCTATTCTTTGTACTTGTACATTCATGAATAAAGGAGATTTTGATTTGATTTGATTTGAACCGTATAAATGTGGGAAATCCATTATCTTGTTATTTTTTTTCTATGTAGATAGATATAAATAAATTTATCAAATTTCTGCACCAGCCGGCCACCTGACAAAATTGAAATTGTAACAAAAGGTCTTCATTGCAATCTGCTTGGGTTGATTTATGTTAACAATAAAATCAAAGACTTTACAGTCTTTCCTTCACAAATCCAAACTTCCAATGCATACTTTCAATAACGAACGAAAAACACACCAAACGCATGTTTACAGAAAGCGTGCATGCTATCTGGGGTGTCAGAATGCTGATACCGTTTATTTATATTGAAGTGGACATTATATGTTTAACTTGAATTTTAATTGTTAAGGCTGTAATTAAAATATTTATTTATAACAGTACACTTTGTACAAACCAACAGGGTAACTTATTGTATTGATATTGCACTATAATAATCTAAGTCATACCACCTATATTTGTACTTAGTCTCTACAAAAGACATTAGTTTATTGGTTTGGATATAATAAATTATTTATTATTGTTGTATAATTATGTGTGATTCCAACCTGAATTCATCCCTTAAACTCTACCTCTACCTGTACTCAAATTCCAAGGCATACGGAAACTATTCTGCCAGATTTGCATTCTAAAAGATACTACATTCTAATCCAAACGTGATTAGATAACTAGGAGTCTGTCAAGGACTAAAGCAGCTTTCTGGTATCTAATCGAACACATCATTTGGAGGTCCTAGTAACCCATCCAAACAAGCAGTGCACACGGCTTAATCAGTTTTGGGCTGAGGTAGGCATTGGCTATTGGGGATCAAAATAGTTAACCCATGACGGCAATTTTTTACATTTATCTATTAATAATTTTTTTATGTTACCTATGTCTTTTATAATATATGGGTTTCAACACGATACGTCAGGTATGTAACCAGTTACACGGCTCGAAGCAACACAATGTCTGCAAAAACATGGTTAGATGAGTCCAAACACAGAGGACTGCTATTTTTTAGTACATTAGAACAAGAACCATCCCCAGTTCGAGAAAGGAGTCATCTCTGAGGTCGGGACAATACAAAACCATTTGGAAGATATGTGAAAAACTATATATGACTATGGTTTGTCCAAAACTACCAGAAAGGTATGCATGAGAGGGATGTCTTGAGGGAAAGACTTGGCAATCAACACTTGACGGTAATGATTGATAAATATACCAGGTAGTACAATACAGATATATTTTCACACAAATAATCTTTAAAAGAGCATCATTGTATTGGGAAATAAAAGAAAATCTGGAAAATAACAGGCGATACAAAGTAGCTGTGGTAGGTAGTTTCAGACAAGAATAACATTGTCAATGGTTGACCTGTGATAGAGTGATAACTCTTTCGGGTGAATTACCTAACCTTCAAAATATTAGTGACGACTTCATAATAGCTTACTAGCTTGGATTTGTGAAGGAAAGACTGTAAAGTC